AACAAAATTTTCGTTTTTCAATTTCACCAAAAACTCTAGAAACATTTTAATTGCTAAATGTATGAGGAACTAATTGTTATGATGGAATTTTCCAAAGAATTTTTGACTAAAGCCAAAAATGCACTCTAAATTCATTGCAATAATTTTTTTTTTTGTTAACATTAAGTTCTTGTTTTATGTTTCCTAATAAATTTTTTAGTTGCTACTTAATTGAGATTTACTAATGCAAGTACAATTTTCTTTTTTCTATTTGTATAAATTGTTATTTTTTTTAATATCAAAGCATGATATTAATTCTTCGTGTTCTTCTGAATTTTGGAGAAATCTTCTGAATTTTTATCTTTAGAGGTTGGCAGGTATGGTAATGACTCATCTAGTGATTCCTGAATAATTTTTTTATACAGTACAAAGTCTGTAATCCGGACATCCATTATCCAGAATGATCTATAATCCAGACCTCAAAGCCACAAACTTACGCATGCATGTAAAGCGTTTATGCATGCGCATTTGATGCACGTTAAGCAAGTAAAGCATTTACCCATGAGCGCTTCTGATAGTGAAGAAAGTAACGTAGAATGTTATTGAAAACAAAAAAATTTCAATTGGAAAGTTAGTCGGTATTCTCGACACAGCAATTACACGACATGAACAAGAAATTGTCTGTTTATAAAATTAAAGAGAAAGTATTAGCACAAAAAATGAAGCAGTTTAAACAACTTACATTGAAGAAAATGTTTACTAAAGTAAACAAATAAATATTAAGCTTTTTCTTTTTGTAAATTTTGATACTCTTTAGATCTCTTTATTTCATAAATTGCGGTTTCATATTTTTAATTGCATAATTTCTGCATGCCATCTTACCAGATTTAAATTGATGATATGTAATCTGGAAAAAAACCCTAATCCGGAATCCCCGAAGTCCTGACGAGTCCGGATTATGGACTTTGTACTGTATTAGTATTTGAATAGCAAGAAATATGGTAACCTTTTATGTTGACGTTATACTTGGTGATGATTATAGATTTAAGTTAAATGCTTATGAAAATGTTGACGTGTAAAAATGTAACAAAAATTTCTTTCCATATGTTAAAAACAGATTTTGTTCATGATACTTAAAGACTAAAAGATTACATTTAGTGCTATTTGAATTAGGAATGACCGACTTTTTATTCACATAAATCCAGAACTGGCTATAGAGCTTGTATGACCGCACTGGGTGGCAGCATTTAGGAAAGAAAAACTTTTTGGAATTAAGGGAAAGCGCTGGGGCCCAAAATTTAGGGGCGGCAAAAATTTAGAACTAATTGAAGCTTTTGGTAGTAGAATTTAGGACCTCCCAGAGCCTTTATCAGGCAGTCAGATATCTAGGGCCAGCCCTCAATAAGCCTTAAGTATATGTACAAATTTATTTGTTCAGGATAAGCCTTAAGCAATAGCAAAAAATAGATGTTAAGTATAATAAATACTAAATTAATACAATTCAGGCTTAACTGCTTCAGTGCATGTTAGAAGCAAGACAAAATATACATGAACAACTAATCTTTCATCTGTAGTCTTATGATACATAGCTAATAATATATAGTGGGTGTCATTAAGCTCGGCTAAAATTATTCTTTACTGGTTCCAAATACACGAGCTCAAGCATTTAAAGGAGTTAAGAATTTGCCCTTTATATATTGTGAATATAAAAGAGCATGGATGACACAAGCCTTAATGAATGATTGGTTTGAAAATCATTTCATACCCAAGGCTTGGCAACATTTGAATTCGGTCAGTTAGCCTGATTATGCAAAAGTTGTCCTGATTGTAGACAACTGTTCAGCTCATACTTCACTTAATGCTTGGCATAATTAATGGTCAGCTATCATATTTTGTGGTGAGGATGATGAAGATGATAGCCACCAATTTGAAGGTTTTTCAGATATTGAAAACCAAAGGTGAAATTTTCAAATTCATGGATTTTGTAAAGAAATATGGAGAAGCAGTAATAAATGAAGATGATAACAGAAATTTTTCATTATAATGACAATGCCCAAGTCATCAATCAGTGGACATCGAAATCTGTAGTTATGGTTCTAGATACAGAAAATACTGCTATTGATAGTAAAGAAAGTGACAGAAAGATTATTGAAAATGAACAAATTTGGTCAATAAGTTAGTCAGAATTCTCGACATAGCAATTACAGGACTTAAACAAAATGGAACTTTGTAACTGAACAAGAAATTATGTCTGTCTATGTAATTAAAGAAAAAGTATTAGCACAAAAAATGAAGCAACTTCAAACAACTTACATTGAAAGAAGTGTTTATTTAAGTAAAAAATTAAATATTAAGCCCTTTTTTTGTGTGTTAATTTTGGCACCTTTTAGATCATAAGTGCTTCATAGAAGTCCGGATCTGGGATTTTGTAATGTGTAAAATATCAAAACTTTCTGATTTTTTATTTATATAGATTTAGACCATTTTTATTGGTACAATAGAAATGCAGGTGGAGTCAGGCTGACCACTTTCTCCATGCTGGGAAACTATGAAATCCCCCCCCAAGGAACCTCTGTATTAGACAATAATTTAAATTTCAAATCACATTCTTAAATCACAGATTTTATTTTCACAGTTTGTATTTTGTTTTTATTAAAAACACATGAGAAAAAGTATAGATAAATTAAAAAGCTTTATTTTACGTGACCTAGAAAAATAAGTTAATCAAGATATAGTTGTTTTTACTTCCTCGTACGAAGTAAAAAGGAAGTATTGTAATCGCGAAAAGTTTCAGGCAGCATATTTCAAAGAAAATATCCATTTTGACCACTATCGAATGCAATTTAACAATGTTTTTGCGTGATATCTGTACGTAAGGACAGAATAAAATACTCTTTTCCTTCAAAAAAATTATAAAACTGCTTTAAAATTAATTCTGAAGAGAATTTTTCGTGGCGTCTGTTCGAACATACATACGTATCTCGCATAATTCAAAAACGAGTAGTCTCGGAACATTGAAATTTTGTATATAGGACTGCTATAACATGTAGATGTGCACCTTGTATTTTGGTTGCAATATTTTGTATATAGGACTGCTATAACTTGTAGATGTGCACCTCGTATTTTGGTTGCAATCGGCCGCACCAAACAGTATATAAATACATTTATACTGTCAAAAGTTGTTAATCCGTACTCGTCGGGACTTCGGCGATTCCAGATTATCGATTTTTCCGGATTATAGATCATGAGTTTAAATCTGGTAAGATGGCATGCAGAAATTATAAAATTAAAACTATGAAACCGTAATTTATGAAATAAAGAACAATTATGATCTAAAGGGTATCAAAATTTACAAAAAAAAGCTTAATTTTATTTGTTTACTTATTAAACATTTCTTCAATGTAAGTGCTTCATTTTTATTGTGATAATACATTCTCTTTAATTCTATAAACAGACATAATTTCTTGTTCAGTGACAAAGTTCTGTGTTCAAGTCCTATAATGCTGTCTACCGACTAATTTGTCAATTGAAATTTTTTCGTTTTCAATAACCTCTGTTACATTCTTCGCTATCGGAAGCGAATTATAATGACAAGGAATTTGATTTAAATCATATCAAAGACGGAGTACATTAAGATGAAATACTAGTAAGGAATTTTAAGCCAAATAAAATAAAAACATCTGCTCTGAAGATAAGGATAGTGCTGACTTCCAATTCAATGTGCGCCTCTGCGTTAAAGATAAACAAAGTTTAGATAAACAAATGTTAAAGTTTAAATAAACAAAGGATATGCCTTTATCCATTTTTTTTGCAGCAAATCCACTTTTTGTTTAATGAACTTCGAAATATACTTTCGCTTTGTAGATCCTTTACATATTAATAAATATATATCAGAAATTCTATTTGACATAATCGAAAGTTCAAGCTTACTCTATAAATTGCTCTAACAGTCTGCAAAAAAAATAATAAGCCGGATCCAATTCGAAGATTAAGGAACAATGCAATCTGCAACATTAACTGAAATAGATAATTAGATAATTTTAGCTTAGCTTATACTGTCCATTATACATTAAACGCGCTCTCGTAAATGTATTTTGCGCACGCGCACAAGCATATACGCAGCCGTAAAGGTTAACGTGATGCATGCGCAGAAAGTTTGCAGCTTTGAGGTCCGTATTATGGGTGTCCGAATTAACGACTTTTGACTGTATATATATATCCACGCTGTTACCCGGCTCAGTGATCTCAGTTTCTTTACTCTTATATGTTTGTAAATTGTACATTTTTGGCTTTAAAAATGATTGAATTATGTTGTTTTTGTCTTACGGTTAAGGATTTTATGCCTTTAGTAAATCTGTGTGCAATATTTTTAGAATTATTAGCAATTTTAAAGTTGTTTAATTGCCGCTAAGCCTGTTTTTAATGGCGGCCATTGATGTTTACATTTGAAAAGGAGACTAGTGAATTGTTGCCAATTAGAGAACTTAGCTTCGCAACAACAAAGATAACGCATTTCTTTATTATTGCCAATTAAATCATGCTTATTCTTTCTGGAATTTTTTCGAGGAAATAAGCGTTTGAGATTTACTTCGTAATTTTAATATAGGTTATCTGAGTTTTTATGTATTTTGCCTTCTCGCGAAGTGAGAACTGAATTAATTAAATGAGAAATACTCAATCGTCTGTGAAAAACTGTTTCTTTTTGTTTTGTTTGCTTAATTTCTTTTATACATAGTTCTAGCTTTATTATAGTATTTGAATAGAACATGTGGCAACGATTAGATAATTCTTTAAATGATATACATTTTGTGCATTCTGAGTTATAATATGAATGAAATTAATACTGTTAAGTAAAACCTAGCGCCAGAGGTCGCTATGGTAAACAAAATGAATTGTAAAGAATGCATTATTCTATTGTGGTTTATGCGCTGTCGGCGAAGTAGGTTTAATTCAATCTAATAAGTTTAAATAAAATGCAAGAAAAAATGCGTATAATTTAATATTCCATACAAGGAAGTCATGTGGTGAACACATCAGATTTTTTAATATTAATAATAAGGTTATAATTTTTTCTCTCTCTGTAGATGATTTCATCTAATCCTTTGCTGGCAGATAATCCAGTTCTTCAACAGCAAATGCGAAATATGTTACCACAGTTCATGTCTCAAGTAAATAACATTTTAAAGTTATTCTTAATTTATTTCACATTTATAGCGTGTTTATTGTAATTTCCTTCAGTGGGTAGTAATTTAATGTAATATACTTCTGAAAAGTTTTTTTTTTTTTTTTTTTTTTTTTTGTTAGTAGTTAATAATATAAAAGTTTGTATAGCTCTTTCATGAAACATATTTTAAATTTATTTTAGTGTTTATGGATTCTCAGCTATCCACTCTGAGTGAATTTTACCACTAGAAGAATCAGTTGTGTATTTTCCTGAATTTTAATTTAGATATTCAGTCTTGACTCATGATTAGTGTTGTCATTTGTTTTGTGGAGAGAAATGTGACAATGGCAGAATGCTAAAATTTCTGTATTTAATAATTTAATATTATTTTATATAATTAATGCTTGTTGAGCATATTTTGTACATAAATTATGTCATTTTGGTAAATCTAAAAGAGTGGCTAACATTTGTTTCTGGTCATTTGTGTTTTTCAGTTTTATTTGCTCAATATTATTATCAGTTACTAAATATTAGGGAAACAAGTTTATTTTTCTTTCACATGCACTTTTTTTATCTTTTTTAAAAAGTAACTCAAAATGTTTTTGTTAAGAACATTATTCAAAGTATTCTGAAAATGAACTGTCATAAGTTCGCTCCATACATGGTTGAGAGAATTTAAATCCAAGGAGTATGGAGGGACTTTTTTTATCAAGTTTTCATTAAAAAAAATCTATAATACTTATGTACTCTTATACTCTTTATAAAAACTTGATATCCAATTCCACAGGCAGCAGAGCATCCTAAATAAATAATACTCCCACTCCTGTGTTTAACAGTAGATTTTTGGATTAAATTCCTCAATCAAGTTTTGTTTTACCATAATTCGTCCATCAGACCCAAATATGTTAACCATCTGACTGATGCATGTTTTCTCCAAGAAAAGCACAAATTTCACAAAACTATCATGAGAAAGAATTTTCTTCATTTTTATGTCAAAATGCTGCTGGTATTTTTTACCTGGATTTATATACTTTCAATATTAGTCTTAATTTCTTGGACTTATTTTAAGATGCATGTATACTTGTATATACGTTGTCACAAAAAATATTCTAGGGTGTACATGTACCTCCTTGCCATTCAGAGGATTAAATTTTGATTATCTGTAAATATTCTGTAATCTCCAATGTGATACTAATAATATTCCAGTGTGATACTAATAATATTCCAATGTGATAATAATATTCCAGTGTGTATAATAATATTCCAATGTGATAAATGTTTGCCGACCATTTATTTTGCTAACTCCATGTTTCTTGTTGACGTCCTGTTATCACTCAATCGATCCATGTGCTTTAATGACTTTTTAAACAGTTTTTTAGAGTTAAACTTCATTGCACTCTATTGTTCTAAGTGTGCTATTAGTTTTATGGCACTAGTATTTGGGTCATATTTGATTTCTTATTGGTTAAATCTCTGATTTAGTGGTGTTAGCCTGAAATGTGGTCCAAACTTCAGTGCATTTTCACAAAATTAATTATTAAATTTCGAACAAAACTGTCCATTAGTTTGGAACATCTTTTCACTTTTATTTCAGATATGGAATGTTAATATATTTTGCTAAACAACTAATAATTTCCAAATACAGATGATAATTTTTGGATGTATTATCATTTAAAGCAAGAAGTTTTGACAAGCATATCAGCCAAAACATCTCAACAAAACTTGAGTGTGTGAACTATGTAATTCTTGATGAACAATTTTTGGATAAATTATTTTATTGCAAGAAATATTCGTGTGATATTTATTTTGCAACAATCAAGGCTTAAAGTAAAGGGAAATAACAGAGAAAAAATTTTGTCGTTTCAATAATTTCAATTAGAGAAAAGTCTTGTTTCAATAATTTCAATTTCTTGTACAAGATCTCTGCAAGTAATTTCAAACATACAAGTGTCAGCCACTGTATTTATGTTGTAATTTATCAAATAACTTTTTTGTGTGCCTAAGTTTCTAACTGAATACATCAGTAATTATTCAAAATGGATGTTCACAGACTCAAATGGAAATTTTAGTTGAACGCTAGTCTTTTTAGTACTGTTTACTATCATATTTGAAATATTTATCATCATTTTCAGAAATAACTATTCTGTATGTTTAAATAATGTAAATAATGTTTATTTTTATTCTTATAGTTGCAAAATCCTGAATTGCAAAGTATTCTTTCAAATCCAGCGGCCATTCAGGCTATGATGCAGATACATCAAGGATTGTCACAGCTTCAACAAATAGCTCCAAATATGTTTAACGTGTAAGTTGTTTGCTTCTATTTTAGTTTGTATTGTATTAGTTTAATTGAAGTTAAGTACTTTTTTCTCAGAAGACAAATTAAAAACTCATGTTAAAGCTGATGTTAACAAAGATTTAATACCTTGTCATGTAAAATATAAATATAAGTTATAAAAATTACAAAATTTAACCTTTTTCAATGTTAGTGGTTCTAAAAATGGAGATCTGCTATAAAGATGTCTTCTTCTTATCAATAGTAGGCCGACTAATGTGCAAACAGTAAAATTACTGAACATTTGTATTTGGTTTAACCTTTTTCCATGTTAGTGGTTCTAAAAATGGAGATCTGCTATAAAAATCTCTTCTCCTTATCAATAGTAGGCCCACTAATGTCCAAGCAGTAAAGTTGCTGAACATTTGTATTTGGTCCTGGGTTCGATTCCAGACAAGCAGGCTGGCTTTGTGGCCATTTCTATGGTTTTCCACTGTGTACGTGGATGTGACACAATTTTCTGTGGAATGTCCTCCACGAAAGGCATCTCTCCTTTTTAGCAAACAATCCTAGCATGCTTTGCCATAATCAAATAAACCAACTGAAACCTCATCAAGAGTGCGAATACAACCAACTCCCAATTTACCAGTATATGCACAGTGAATTCAAAAATATTATTATTCTGACAACACTTTAAAAAGCACTGGAGGGAGGAATAACCTATATTGTAATAAACTGAAAAATGTAAGAGTTTTTCTGTATTTTTAGCAGTTTTATCTAGGATTGTGTTCATTTGGTTACATAAATCGAATGAGTATCCAAAATAAAAAGCATGCTGTAGAGAATAAAAATAACAATCATTACAAATGAAGAAACTTGTTATAAATGCATACCTGCCAACTTTTACGAATTTTTCGTAATTTTTAGGAAAATGCGTTTGTCTTTACGATTTTACGATCGTAATCCATTTTTTACGATTTTTTTTCCTTTTTCAAATGTTTTTAGTGATTTTTGTCGAAATTTTAGAATTTTTCGCCAATTCAGCAATTTTCGCCAATTCCATCGTGTTTTACCGCCAACTACCGACTACTTCGAATCCAGTAACCTGCGGTTTCTCCCAACCCGCCGCTTAACCAGCCAATCCAATGCGCTGAACTTGTTTCTCCCACTCTTTTCTTTGTGGGCGTCAAATTATTTTTTTCGCCTTCGCTTCAGCAGCAAGAGAATTACTCAGCGAGCGTGGATTGTCGCATTCTGTTTTGTTTTTTGTTTGCACGTGCTACGAATTTTCTTAATACATCGTTCGTAAAAACCGTATTCTCAAAATTTTGGCCTGCCTACAAAGCCGAATTTCCAACAATTAAAGAATCCTTCAAAGGAAATAACTATGCATTTTGCAACGTGAGCGTGTGTGACTTCATAATAAGTCACGGTGGAAGAAGCGACATTGTGAAGCATGTTAAGTCTAAAAAGCATAAGTTAATGTTTCGGCTTCGACAACGTCAAAGAAAGTGGATGATTTTTTTTTTTCAAATTCGGCTACGAATTCGGATGCTGATGTCATTTTGGCAGAGTGTTTGTTTACTGCATTCCTCATCGAACACAACGTGCCGCTAAGCGCTGCTGATCACGCCGGTCAACTTTTTAGACGGATGTTTCCCGACTCCAAGATTGCTCAGAAATATGCTTGTGCTCGCATGAAAACATCTTCTATTGTGAACGAAATTGCTTGCGATGCACAAAGTAAAACGATAGCTGCACTCCAGAATTCAACATTTTCGGTGTCAATCGATGGCAGCAACGACAGCGATTGGAAGCTTTACCCCATCGTTGTCACATATTTCTGTGATGTTTCTATTGAAATGAAAACTCATCTTTTGCGTCTTCCATTGTTAAATATTGCCTCCTTGGTAATTAATGAGTTGAAAAAAGTTAACATCCCAATATCAAACTGCATTTCATTTGGTGCAGATAATGCTCATGTCATGGTGGGTGACAAAAAGGGTGTAGCCTCTTTCTTCAAAAAAGAACAAAATGAATTAATTGTTATTGGATGCCCATGCCACTTAATTAATTTGGCAGCAGAAAAAGCTGCAGCTGTAATTCCACGCAGTAATGCTGAGTGCGAGAGAGTCTTCAGTGTTGTGAAGAAACACAAAACTATGTTTCGTTCTTCAATTCCACCAAAAACTCTAGAAAACATTTTAATTGCTAAATGTTATGAGGAAACTAATTGTTATGACAGGAAATTTTCCAAAGAATTTTTGGCTAAAGCCAAAAAAATGCACTCGAAATTCATTACAATAATTTTTTTTTTTTTTTTTTTTTTTTTTTTTTTTTTTTTTTGTGTGTGTGTGTGTGTAACATTAAGTTCTTGTTTTATGTTTCCTAATAAATTTTTTAGTTACTACTTAATTGAGATTTACTAATGCAAGTACAATTTTCTTTTTTCTATTTGTATAAATTGTTATTTTTTTAATATCAAAGCACGATATTAATTCTTCGTGTTCTTTTCTGGAGATTTTTATCTTTAGAGGTTGGCAGGTATGTAAATGTCATTGGAACGTCTCTTTGTTTTCCTTTCTTCATTATTCTGCGTTTCGCAACCAGTTAATCAGGAATTGACTGTATTGTGCTTGGTCATAATGTGTAAGAATTATTTCTGCTGTTGATGGTAAACCATGTAATTAATTCCTTCTAAAACATACAAAGGCCCTTTTATGTACATGTTGGGTGAATAATCCCTGGTCTTTTAATCCATTACTGCCTCATAGTAGAAAGAAATAGTGTAACATAGTTAATGGAAAGAATCATAGAAACTTTATCATAGACCTTTAAAATCATGGTATAAATTTGCTCTTTCTGCTGCAACAGATTCCTATAAACTAAGTTAGTCATGTTCACGTCAGCTTTGTCATATCTACATGAAGAATATTCAGGATTGCACTATGTTAATTCCATTGTCACAGTTTTTATCTAAACTTGTAGTGAAACTTCTTCCTGCATCTCTTGCAGTTTTCCTAAATGATTTGCTGCAAATTTATTTAACATCTGGAAAAGTGTACCAAATTTTTATCTCTTGAAAATCATACTTAATAAAAATGCTTGAAGTGCAAGAAATCTACTTAGCATCCTACCTTTGTTGCCCTAGTTCACTTCTGAAGGACAGCCATTACTCATCTTGGTGTAAAGTTAACCAGTCTGTGAATTAGTCATGCAGCAAACACACTGACCTTAATGATATGCCATAAGAAACTGGCATGACAAAGATTACATGTGTATTTGTAGCAGCAGTTCTTTCAGGGTATAGTTCAAAGTTATAATCTTTAATCTGTTTTAATGCAAATAGGTTTTTCTCATATATGAAAATTAATTTTAATAATTGCTTAAATTTTTGCATCATTACAAATGAGTATCATTGTGAGTGATCATAGATCTTAAATCATCTTTCATCAAATATTTGATGCATTATTGTGTTAACAGTGTATGTACAGTCATGGAAACAGTTATTCACCATGTAAACAGTCAATAGCATGTGTTATGTAAAAGAAAATTTTGTGATATTTTCATTCTGTGTTTAACAGATTCATAGTTTAGTTTCGATAGAAAAACTATTTTTAATCTGAAAATAAATTTTACTATGATGAAGAATCTTTTGCCTTTATGATGAAGAATCTTTGTTGTTTGAGCTGTTGTAGAAAATGCCTTAAAATTTAGTAAAATTGATAATTCTTAAGGTAAGAGGTTTTTCCCTCTTTAAAAATTATTGATTTGATTAATTCTGTCTGATACATCAAAGTATAATTAATTATTGAAAGATCATACTGCTTTCCATCACAGTTCCCTCCCCCCCCAAAAAAAACTAGTAAGAAGAAAAACTAGCAAATCAAAAAAAAAAAAAAAAAAGCCTAGTTTTCTTGCCTACAAAAATGTAGGGTGTTTAGAAGTTTAGTTTGAAAGCTTATTCAGAATCCTACACAGCAGATTATTACCATCTTCCCAATATAAAGTGGTTCTAGAACCTCCCCCTTTTTTTTTTGTCCTCATACAACCCTTCCATTACAGTTAAAAGTTCATTTTCGTACTCATTTCCAAAACTTGAAAAATACATATAGAAATTCAAGTTATTTTTAGCATGCTTTAGTAATTATACATAAAAAATTACAGATATGTCGATAAATAGCAAAACTTCAGTGAAAAAGGTTTTTTTTATATTCATTAACTAAATACTGAACTAAATAAAAGCTTGACAACATGCCCCCTGAAACTATAAAGTCTACCCCCCAGTTGAGAACCCCTACTCTAGAATTTTATTCTATTGGTGAACAGTTCTGCAAAACAGTGTTTTTATGTATGTGCACATTTTAGTGTGCTGCCTAAAATTCATAAAGAGGGCACATATTCCCATCTCTGTATTTCTTGCATTGTTGTTTTCATTTTGTGAAAGACGTATTAATTTTAACCTTTCCTCATTTTAATGCTGTTTAAAACTCTTCTAATTTTTTAAATTAAGTTTCATTTCTAAATTCCTGACATGGACATTGTGGTTTCATTCAATGTGCAAAAACATACTGGTGGTATTTATCTGATGTATTTAATTGTTAATTCTCTGAGCAAAAATATCAATAGGATCTGAAACATCCAAAATCTTTCTTACATTTGTGCAGATACTTGTCCGCTTCCTTCCTTTGTCATATTTATGTACTGTACTTTTTACATGAAATTTTATGGATGTTTAATTTACATTATTGGGTTTGTGCTGATGACAGATTTCTTTTTTTTGGGACTAACACTTGATATCATGTGCTTGTTTCCTTGTCATTTAATGGAAGTATTCAACTTGAATTTAAGCTTTATCATTTTGTCTTTAATTGGTTTTGAAAATCGACAGTGATTTTAAAATCCATTACTGAATTTGTCTTTAAAAAGCTCTGTTTTCCTTATCTCTTTGTGAGCAAGAAATTATGACTTTCTACCTTTTCAGCATGATGACAGAAAAAGATAGAATTATTATCTATATCTCTCAACATTACCATCCATGAATATAGTCTTAAAAACATGTATTTCATGAAGTTAATGTCCTTCAAATTAGATGAGTGAATGGCATAAAATAAGACAGTCGTCATCTTCTTTCATAGGGTATCAATGAAATTCTCTCAATAATCTGATTTCAACTACAGAACAAATGTACAAAGCATTAAAATTCAAAACTGGAGAGCAGATCCAATTTGTAAAACAATAAATTAAAAAAAAATATCTTTCTCTTTATTTATTTTTCATGCTTTAATTAAGATATTTTAAAATCCTGACAAATTATTTCCTTAGTGACCATATTGTCAAGTAGGCAACATCATCTCTGTCTGTTTGTCAAGGTAATGAAAACTGTTCCAGGTCCCACCTTGATTCTTCCTGACAAATATTTCTCTGATACTACAACTTCCCCTGCAGAATTAACCACAGCATTTTAATAAAGGTGAACAAAGTTTCAATAATACTGCAGCCAACATAAGTTTTACTGAGTTCATTTTATGTTATGTATATTCAATCATAATTGGATATCACAAGTCATATCGTTAAAGGGAAATTTTAAGAGATAAGCCTGGGTTAAATGCATCAAACTGTCTAAAGATGAAAGTTCTGCGAAGAATATGAGATAAAAGCATCTGCAAAGGTGTGTACACCTTTAAAGAATCCTGTATGATGATAATGAAAAATATATGTATGCTAAATTAGATAATGCAGATATGTAGGTGTATGGATGATGTTTAGTGAATGTTTTTGTGTTCACTCTGTAGTCAGGCTATTTAAGCAAATTCTTTGTTTGGAAGTTTTTAACTTTATTATTTACATTTTAAGTTCTTTGTAGTTATATGCTCTTTATTTTCTGTATCATACCTTTGTTTAAATGAAAATGAAATTATCATGAATACTGATCATTTTTAAAGGGGTGTTCCACCAACAACTACGTCTGGTACAACAGCAAATACTTCTGCACCTACTGGTACTACTACTACATCCTCAGTTCCAACAACAACAACTACCACCACTACTGGGCCAAATCCTAGTTCTACAACTCCTCCATCTAATATGAGCAGTCCTGAAGCTTTTACTCAGTTAATGGCAAACATGCTATCATCTATGGCCATCAGTGACTCGGTAAGTGCATAATTTTTCTTAATAGCCAGCTAAAATCAGGGTTCGTATGATCTTTAGAAATTCTTAGTTTTTTTTTTTTTTTTTTAATTGATTTTTGGTCCTTAAAAGTCTTAATTTTGACCAAATTCGGCAGAAGGTCCTTAATTTTAATCGTCTGAAATTTCTGTTTTTACGTCTGCCATTTTGAATGCTGGACAAATAGTTTTGCTGATTCATTGAAAAAATAGTTATCTTTGCTCATTGATTGTAATTTCATCCTATTTCAAATATAAATGGTGAGATACTCAAGTTTGTGAACAAGAAGTGAAACATGAGCATTTCGAAATTATTTCATTTTTTCTAATGAAGAGCTCTTAAACAACTTTTTACTTTTGTGAATGTGAACTTTTTATTAAACGGTTCCATATTTGCCAATTTATCAACACTTCAGCTATTTGAAGATCAGTTTCTATAAAAAAAATTTAATTAGGAAATCTGGGATTTTTCGACCTTTTTTTTTAAAAATAAAATATTATAACATTGATTAGTTTCATTAAAATAATGCTAATATATTGAAACTGTATTCAAGGAATAACATTAAAATGAAACATTTGTATTTTTTGCTATTATATTATAAAGGGAGATTACTTTCTATTTTGGAGACTTATTTTACAATATTTTGAATCTGAAAAATAAACAAGGTAATAAATGCTTAAATTGCACTTTAGCACAGTTTACAAAGCAATTCTTAGCAAAAGCAAAATAGCTATTTAATTAATTAAAAATGCCTTTGTTTTATTTTTTTCATAGTAGGAATTTTTTTTCTCCGCATGTAATTGTCTCAATTTACATCAGTTTTCTCTGTAAAATTAATTTTATGCTTTTTTGGTCTGATTTTTTTTCAACATATTTCTGGCTTTTTGCTGTTACAGAATTGGTAGGGGTAATTTTTCGGTACTTTCCATTTCGCCGGCTCAAATCTCGCCAAGCAGACTTTATTGGTGACAACACACAGTATACACATAAAAAATGGTAACAAATGTTAGTTCTAAAAAATTTTTATTAAGGCATGAACATTTTAATATCACTTAAAATTTTGTAAAAAGACATTAAGAATTTACTATGCTTTCATGGCACAACATCCTGATTCGCAGTTTCTTGTCATGTGACTCCAAGTGATCTCAACTCACGTAAACTATGCTACAAAAATCTAATCTCTCGGTAATTATCTACATTAATTTCAAGTTAAATCTTAATTTGGAATACAAGTTTAAATGCAAGAATTATTTCAATTCGTACTAATAGCTTACTCAGAAATTATGTAAAATCGCAGTGCTTTACTTCGCTAGTGCATTCTCATTAGAATTTCACTAGATAACCCTTGACTTTGCCTTTTCTATATTTTCGCTTTCGAGTGAGCGGTGTGAATGCATCCTAATTGGCTTAATTACCGCGAATGGTCTTAGTGTATAAAATGGAACTATATGGATGAAAATTCTATATAATTGTATACCAGTATTTGAGAGAAACAATCAAACTGAAAAGAAATGGCTGCGACTTGTTTTGTGAGACGTAAAAGATTACCAGTGAAGATATTTCGTTTGGTATCAGTTGTACCATTTTTGGCGACTTTATCGCTTGCGCCGGCAAAATGGAAAAGTACCGATTTTTCTTCAGGATTTTAGACATTCTAACCTGGAAAGTTTAGAAGAATTTGAAGGCAAGATTTATAGACCCACATATGTAGAAGATTCCAGAAAAGTGTCTTCATGGTATTAACATGTAATGGATGTATTTTACAAAAAGTTTGTGATGGACTTTTAATTTTTGAAGAATTTTTGGAAGAACAATGGAAACATAATATTTGAATATGATACTAGAAGTCTTTTTCTGAACATTATTATCTTCCCTTTGTTTTCTTTATTTTTCACTAGATACACTCAGTTTTTTAATGGATCACAAAATCTGTAGTATGGTTCTAAATCAGAAAATATTGCTCAGTTAGTATAGGAAGTGACAGAGAGGTTGCTGAGAAGAAAAACATTTTGATTGACAAATTAGAAATTTCCGTGTGCATTTACATTACTTTGTAACTGAACAAAAAAAAATGATGTCTATCTATAGAATTGAACAGATAGCACAATAAATGAAGCAATTTAAACAATTTGCATTGAAAGAAATGTTAAATAAAGCAGACTTTTTTTTTTTTTTTTTTTTTATTTCTTTAAGGTCATAAATGCTTTTTTTTTTCCTCATAAATCACTATTTCATATTTTTTATTTTAAAATTTTTGCATGTTAACTTAGTAGATTTAAACTAATGATCTAATGTTTGAAAAAATTCTGAATCTTTGATTTTGTGCTATATATTTTATATTGGAATGATCTTATAAATAGTTCAGTCAGTGTGGAATTTTTTTTTAATTGTAAAACACCTGGACACTACTTGTATTTTGTATTTCAATGTTGGCAGCTTTGGCAGTGTAATTGTAAATAGCTTTTCATTTGATTGCAAAACCGAATAAATTAATATGTATGTACTGCAAAAAATATTAAATATTTCTGATTGTGTCATTAATTTTTTATTGTATTTATTTTCTATATTTATTTTTTCCACTGAAAATGTGATGAATATAAATTTATCAGAATTTATGTAATACCTTTAGTCATTTCTTACTAGTTTGCCATATTATATTTTTCAATTCTATAAATGTTCTGTTCATATATTTTTATTAAAAATTAAAATTTTTTTATATATTGTAAAATTCACTTTGAATATATGTTTTTTTTTGGGGGGGGCTACATTTTCTAGGTAGATAACCAGCATTGTTCTTAAAATTTAATATAAGAAATTAGTGATGCTGAAGAGCATTGCTATTTAAATAGTTTCCTCATTATTGATGTCACATCTGTTTTATTAAACCTGTGCAGGCACCACTTTAGTATGCAGTGATGAGTATCTGAATAAAATTAAAATAAGAAAAATTACTGTCTCCTCTTACAAAGCCTGCAAACGGGCTGACAGCATGATTTTTTTGTGGTTTTCCCCATGTGTAACATGTATATGAGCCAGTTACCCATAGAAAGTCCTCCACGAAAGCATCCCTCCCCTTAGGTAGATAGCCCTTAAGGTTTTGCCATAATCACATACACCAACACCTCTTACAAAGTCAAGAAAGGTCTACCCTTGATGGGATTTTTTTTTTCCTTTCTAATTGAGATACCCACATGTCACTTTGAAACACCTGCTGGCTAGGGAGTGGCACTGGCCATTGACAGTGGATTGATTGACATAGATGTTGGCTAGAATCATAATTTTAGCCCTTGAGCGGTTATGAGGTGGTTAGCATTTTTCTAACTGAACTTTAACAGGTGAAACTTTAGTATTGCCATGTTTACATACCATTTGACAATAATAAGCTGATTAGCTAAAATCTGGAATTGCCGAAGTCTCGATTCCGGGTCATAGACATCATGCTGTGTTTTGTTTTCTAGATCTGTAGAACCTAAACTTGTTTAATTTTTAAAGTAAATTTTGTTAATATTTTTAATAACATTTTGCAGTTTATAAGCTAGTTCACAGTGTCATAAAATGAATTTGTCTGTGTTCAGGTATCACAGTACAGATGCTGTTAAATATTTTTTTAATGTATATTTGTATAATTTCTCAAAAGTACTTTTAAAGTTTTTTCCTTATGTGAAAGTTAAGCGGAAAGGAAAAAATAAAGTTGCTGTTTGTCTTAGTTTTAATTAGTTTGTGGTATGAATAGAAGTATACAAGCATTGTTTAATGTTTCAGCAACCTCCAGAAGAGCGATATCGTTCCCAGTTAGAACAGTTGGCAAGCATGGGTTTTGTAAATCGAGAGGCCAATCTTCAAGGTAAATATAGTAAATCTTACAGGATTTTAAGTCTACATTTTTTGGAAATTATTCTAGTCCTTAAAGTCTCTAATTTTGGTCAAAATTTACAAAAATAGTCCATAATTTTGCTCATCTGACATTTTTGTCTTTCTGCGAGTTGCATTTAAAGTATACATTAATGTTTTGAATGAATATAGAATTCAGACTATATGGTTTGAAATGGAGCTATTCCAAACTGGTGGTGTTTGTTCATATGCAGCATTTCAAAACAGATGTTATCAACAAATCTAGGGTGGAAAAAGGAGGTGAGGCTATTAGACTACTGTCTAAAACAGGGGTTCTCAACTGGTGGTACACAAGAGTAAAATAGGAGGGCAAAGTATTTTTAACTATTAAATTCAAAAATTAAAAACCCAACATTCTGATTGATTTTTTTTTTCTAACACTTGTAAATTTATGCGATCTGAGCTTTGTTAAAGAGTGGTGGTGGTACTAGATCTCAAAATATGCTTTGATTTACTATAATGAAATGTGACTGTGACTTTGACTTCGACTGAAAGCCAAAGGTCAAGACTTCATAAATCTCGTGCTTCTTTCCCTTTATCAATGAATCCAGAATTGTTTAAGAATACGGACAAAAGAAGGAGGATGGTTTGGAAAAAAAAAAAAAAGAAAAAATACCACTGTTAGAGAAAAGTTTTTTGTATGGGAAGTTGAAACAGTGGTGCAATTGCTCTTTCTGTCCATCACTAGAATTTTGTTCATATGTAATTCAACATTCATTCATCAATATTGAGAGGTTGTTGATCAGCTCTGTTATCAACAGTTTTGAAGGATTTCCGTCAATTGAAAATTATGCCCAAGAAATCATACAAAATGCAAAAGCAATATGCAGTAAAAAGTTTCAAATATGGAAAAGGGAGAAGATAAAAATTCGAGGAATGTTGAATGAAGTCTTGGATAATATAACACTAAACATGGTGAAAGCAGTCATAATGAAAATAAATAAATAAAGAGCCTGTAATTTAAAAGAAGTTAAAACAATTGTTAAAAAAGGCATGGGAGGTTGACCTAAATGAAGAAACAGGACATTTTAAAAGAGGCATTGAAAAACTCCTCTTCACTCCTTATTGCCAAATTTTAAAAGAATTTTGTCAGTTATTCTCCAAAGCAAAAACACGATTTTTTAAAAAAAGAAAAAATTTATCACATACATATTAAGCAGCATTTGCTTTCAACAGTATTTAGATTTGTTTAAAGTATAGGTCATTTTCGTAAATTAACTTATGCGTAACATATTTTTTTAATAAAAAATTAATTTTGTAGAACACAATTTTGTCATATGCACAATGTATCGACGTATGTGCTCCCCCTCAGGATATATTTGGCAAGGATTTGAGGGTTTTTTCCCCCCTCCCCCCTTTTAAAGTTTTGCATAGTCGTTCTAAGTGAAAAATATATAACAACCTTTTCACTGGATTTTATTTTATATGTCTGTTTTTTTTTTTTTTTTTTTTTTTTTTTTTTTGTTTTTTTTTTTTTTTTTTTTTTTTTTTTTTTTTTTTTTTTTTTTTTTTTTTTTTTTTTTTTTTTTTTTTGGGAAGGAGATTTCAGGAATGAAACCAACAGAAAACAAATTCAAAATTTATTAACAAAGATTTAGTGAAAAGATGAGAAATCTAAATAAAAAATGCTTGGGGCTAAACTATCTAGTATCAAACCAAAGGCATTAAGAAAGAAAGGAGCCTAAATCTTCCAATATAGTGCCAAAAATGCATGGTATGGTTTAAATGGAAAAGTACCTTCCAAGGAGTGCCACATATATCTGCAGAAAGTGCAACTGTCTCTGCTCAAGCATCACTAGGAAGAATGAGGAACATCTAAAACATTCCTTTGGAAAAGAAATGACCAGTCAAAGAGGGAAGATTTATGTATACTAGTGGACCTTTCAAGAAACGAACAAACTCGGTAAATAAATATTTTGTTGCCAAATTACTGTTTTCAGAGTTTTTAATGAATATCTCACAACAATTAAAAATTAATATCTTGCACAACCCACAACAAACAATTCATAAATATTTTTATAACAACATACAGCAATCAATAACTAATATCTCATGCAACCCACATCAACCAATTCATAAATAATTTTTTATAGCCATTGTAGCATTTTTAATTTTAAATTAATATCTTGGCTGAGTAAAATCGTATTAAGATGAGAATGGTCAAATGGCTTCCCACGAATTTTTTAAATCCAGGATTATCTTTCTCGAAACTCTAGTCAACCTTCTTTAAACCATCAACCCAGAGGACCAGTCAAAATTGTTATTGTTGTGTCCATGTTTTGTTTTAAAGGGTGATGTTGTTATAGTTCTCATGTGCAGTCTAATAAAGGGACATCTTCTTCAACCTTCCTTCTCTTCGGAATTGGCTTCTGAAGATTCGAGATTCTTTTGCAGCCTGCATGTCTGAAACAATCGGAAATAGTTTGGGTGGAAATCTTATTTCAGATTTTCACTATGTAGTAAACTGCATCAAGCACAGTTACAGAAAAGGAGGATTTGCCATCAGGAGCATGTATAAAATCAATCATGAGAAAACTTCTCTAGTTTAAAGTTATGAATAATCCCTTGGTTCCTAGGTGCAGTGTGCTAGCCACATTTGTTGTTAAGTAGATCATTTTTATGGCTTCTAAATTGCTTACTCTGGTATGAACAGTGCAGTTGTCAATAATCAAAACTATTTTTCTGCCTTTCTCTGAAAATTTTGCATCTCAATTCTTGATTCACACCCATAGCTCTGATGTCATTCAAACTTTTGAATTGGTGTCGTAGGTCATTGACAAAAATTTTACAATGTTCACTCTCACTGGGGGCTTTTGGGACAATATGATCGTATGGCAATGGATCACCTCAAAACAGTCAGCCTTTCCTTATTGTTTTTTCCCCATTGCATTTTTCTTTAAAAAGTTTTGTTAGGCAAGATTCTGTTAAATAATCTGTATTTATTTGTCAGTTGGATGATATTGTTTAAGTACTTTTATCACCATGTTTTCCATTCCAGGATGACCTCTGGATCAATGTCTGATACTTCTTCCTTGTTTATTTTTTTAGCAATAAGTCATGCCTTATTTCCAGTCATCATTACAGCTGGAAAGTTTTCTCCAACTTCGACAGCAATTTTGTAGAGCTATTTCCTTCAAATTAAAATAGAAATTATACTATTTTGCATCCTGTTATATTTTATCCCACACGATTAGAGCATTCTCAATTTCTTCATAGAGAAGCATTCATTATTATTATTTTACATCACACTGTGGTATGTTCAAGGAATTCCACAAGCTTCTGCAAAGGCAGCTTGTGACTGGTCAATAAACCCCTGTCTTTTTTTTTTTCAAAATGTCAAATTTTATGCTTTCCCGTCATTCTGTTGAAAAGTGTCTGTGTTCAGAGCTGAGCAGTTTCTGATTGGAAAAAATCATCTTAAATTATGCATGTTATAAATTAAAAACAGACTTTTTTTTGTCAATGTGTGATGAAAAGCATTGGCATTCTTCTGTTTGATAAGTTTTTTGTTACTTGTTAATCCATTTCTGATATTTTTCTTTGTGTTATTTATTTGAAATATTTTGTGAAAAGCATTTCTTAAAACATTAAATAAAATGAAATTAAATCTTAACAGGAGTTTCATGTGCCGCCTTTTTTGAACAGCTTTGGGATTAAAGAAACATTAGGCTTGAAATAAATTTCAGCATTGTTAGAAAATGAGTATTTGACACTTTCAAAAAAAGTGTAATTTGTTATGCATCTAATTTAATGCCATTTTGTGCTTTTTTAATGAATATATTATTTTGCCTACTATTATATGTGTTCAGGTTCTCAAACTTATAGATCTAAATAAGCAGTATACGTCACTTTTATTTTTAGACACTCACATTTTAAAATAATCATATCCTTTCAATTAGAATCTGAAATACATGTTGCTATAAATGCTAGTAGTTCATGGCTTAAAATTATTTATTTACCAAATGCCTGAAAAAAGTGTCAAGCACCCTTATCAGATGAAAGCTCAGTCAGTCAATGGATGATATATTTGCTCATTAAAGTCACAGGTGCAGATTTGTTAAAAAAAAAAGTGGAAGTGTTTCAGAAGTCATTACAGGTGATGAAATATTGCAATATATACAAAAAAAAAAAAAAAAGTGTTTGATGAAATAGCATTCAAAAGTTTGGTGTTTTCTAAATAAAATTTTGTTGAAGAGAGAATGGAAAGTGTAGGAACATTGTGCTTGACCACCCCAAAAAAATGATATTCAAGGGAAGCATTGATTTAAAAAAATAAATAAAAAGTAAGATTCTTAATTTCATTTATAACTGTCACCACATCGTAAAGTCAAGTGTTTGCTTGTCAGCAGTGCTTAGTATTTGGTCTGTAACTGCTGTTTAAAAACTATGCAGCATCATATGATGCACCCATGTGTGCCGTTACAAGAGTAGAATTTTTGCAGGTCTACGTTAGCTGCTATATTTACATGGATTCAGATGACATGTTTATTTTCTGTAATGAAGAAGCTTTGATGGAAATAGTTATAGTATTTTATAAATATGATAACTATTATGAATGTACCTTATGAATTTAAAAAAAAATCATGTAACAAATTTTTCTTTTTCATTGATGAGTATTTCTAAACACTCTGAGTAATCCTCATATACTATATTAATTGATAAATATTAAATGCTAAAATACTTTTTCAAGTAGGTTGTGTATATATAATAGTGTAAAGATATTTATGAGTTTACCTCAAAATATTGGTTGTTTCCCAAAGTTTCTGGCAAATTTAAGTCGCCTATTGCTTAATGTTTATTCATTATATTTTATAAAATATTGTTTTTATTTCTTTTTTATAGCCCTTATCACTACTTTTGGAGACATCAGTGCAGCTGTAGAAAGGCTGTTGCAGTCTCATCAGTTCAACCCAGCGTAAAAAGTTTTATGTAAACTTAGTTCTACAGATTGTTCTGGACCAACCCTAAAAATGTTGCATTAGTCTTTCTTTAAAAAGGGAAAATAATACTCGGTCAAAATTTGGAAATATTACTGTTTTTGACTCGTGATACAAATTGATTTTATGGAGATATTTTACTTGTCATTTTCTCACTTCCTTCTAATGGCTGCAATTTTCTGAAAATATATTGCTCACATGTAAATGTTCTTTCCTGTTGATGTAATTAATAAAAAAATTACAAATCATCATTTCTTTTTCTAGCAATTTCTCTATGTGAACTTATACATGACTGCTAATAGTATATATTTTTATAGATTTGTAGGAAGCTGCTTTTTTGAAATGTGCCACTCTGACTTGAATCAATCTATTGTGTATTGCTTTTCTTATTGAGAAATAACTGTCATTATTTCTCTTATTTTTTCTGAATTTTATAATTCAGCAATATCTGATTACAGATGTTTTAAAAGGCTTAGATTGTTTTACTTTTCTAGCCAGCAAAGCATGCCATTATCTGTTTCTTTTACTAGAGTATATCTCCTAATACCTTGGAGTGATAATATTTGTGTCTTGTTAATGTTTTGAAGATGTGTTTTGTCATTTATCTTGAAGAGCCAGATTTTTAAATAACATAATATATATATATAAATATATATATTTGTGTGTTGTAAAGCAGATTATTAGGAAATGATGTACTTTATCTTGTCCTTTTAAGTACTTTTTTTCACCAAGGAACAATACTTATTTAACATACATGCTTTCTAAAACTATCTGGTTGTTGAAGAGCTCCTTCTTCTATCATCTGTATTTCAATTTCCTTTAGAAAAAGTATTAAAGAATTATATTTATTTGAAGATATTTTAATGTTTTGTTGATCTGAAATTAACAGTTTAAGGAAAATATGATTGTTGAATAAATACTCCATGAGTTGTAATGCTGACAGAAATTACAATAAAGTCATTTGTTATTCTAAATATAGGGAACTTCTTAATTTGCACATTTCTCTAGAACTTAGCAGAGCCGTAACTAGGGTATATAGTAGTTAAAACTTTGTGCTAAGATGTAAATTTTGAATGCACATGAAGAAAGAAAACCATTATAATCGCTAGTTATTATTTCACAGGAATTATGCATCTAAAATATTTGTCAGAGTTTTATCTTGTAAGGTATTTATTTTCAAATTTAAAATGTATCCATGTCTGGAACTAAGAATTATGCATTTTGTATATACTACTGAGAATATCTTACATTAAAGAATTCTTTAATAGCTTCAGCTATAGAATTAAAAAATTCTTTAATGTCTTCAGAATGGTTATATTTTGAAAACAGATTTTTCAAAAATATTTGTCATGTTTTAGAAATTTTTAGATCGTAGGAAATCTTGAAGCAAATTAAAATTGCATTTAGTTAAATTTCTCTGCTTCTATATATCAGCTTTTGTTTTAATTATATTTAGTAATACATCCTGCTGTAGATGCGATGGTTAGTATTTGCTCCCTCCCCAGTTACGGCACTGAGTGCTTAGGAGAATTAAAGCAAAATGTTTTCACTTTGGTGGGATATTTTTATGTAATCCAGTGCAAAGAGTGAATTTGTTGTAAATATATAATGAATGATTATGTGTTTTGAATGGTTGCATAAATTTGATATGGAAATATCTCCTGATATAAGCTTGCCATCCTACATGAATAAAACTTTTCATCTTTGAAGTTGCTGTGTTATTTGAAATTTCCTTCATACAAGATAAACAAATCATTATTTTGCCACAAATAAATTTAACCAAAAAGGTGACTTAACCAAGCATTAGAATGCTTAGAAAGATTATGTCTATCATGGTACAGTACTTTTCATATGTTTGTAATGCTCCCTTGTTCCTACTGTTTTTGTTGTCTCTCCCAATTTAAGACATCCATTATTGCTTTTTTTATGCTATTGTTTTAAGACAGAAATTTGGGAATTCGAAAACAAAAGCATTAAGAGCAAAACTTGGCTCATCCTTATCGTAAAGAATCGTAAGTCACATGGCAGTAAAAATGAAATTAAAGAAAATAAAAGTCTTGATTCACATGAGAAAAATCGTGTTTGAACATTACTAAGGTTGGAGTGAAATACTAAGATTGTGACGATTTCTATAGCTTCTTTAATTTTAAGGTTGCTTGATGTTTTTTGCTTTGGCCCATTCAGTTACTAAGTTTTGGCAAAGTATTTTCCAAGTCTGTGCTGTTTTTGCTGTCATATTTACTGACCTCTTTGTGCTTGGCAGTTCTTACTGATAAAGTAATGTATTGAGTTTCAATGCTTGAATCTTCTTAATGAACGTACTTTTGTTTGGTTGTTGTATTGATGACAACTTCATCTCTGAAATGCAGAAATTTGTTGATTTTGTTAGATGAGTATTTGTTGTTGGTTGTATTTTGTCCCCCCTCCTTTTTTTCAGATTAAAATTCCTGGGCACATATTAAGTAAATAAAGATCTGTTTTATGATGCTGAAATGAATATATAATTATTGTCAGGTTGCTAATGAAACAGACTGATAGAACAGACGATGTCCAGCTGATGAAAATGACGTGCTGCCTGTAAAAATCAAACTTGAATTATGTTTAAACTTAGTATGGGTTTACAAAATAAGATTATAATAAAGTAAATTTTAATAAATAAGATTATTTTATTTTCAATTTATTAATCTACACTTTGAATTTTTTTTGTTCATCATACAAAGTAGGTAAAAATTTTATGTGTACAAAAGGAAAAGAAAACCATTTAGCATATATTGATAAATCTTATTGTACAAATGTATGTAAATGTACATGTAATAATTTTATAAAAAAAAATGTATACTTTTGTTTTCAGTGCCTCATGTCTGAAGTTGAATAAAGAAGTATGTACTTATTTCAAAGCATTTGCTTTTTTAACCTTGTAACAAAATGTTTATCATCTACATAATGATAGCGAAAAGCAATCTATGATTTATCTTTCGGAATTAATGAAAAAAAGCATATTTTTCTAAGCTTATCGTAAACTTCAACAGCCTTATCGCGCGTAAGTGTTTTCATTTGCAAATTTTTTTTCAAAGTTTTCTCGAATTAAATCATTTATGGATGCATTTTTATGCTTTACAAAAATTTAGTAAATAGTGAGATGTGATTTTCTTTCCTTTAAGTGAATTTCATAGTTGGCAACATGGCAAATCTGGCATTCAGTGTTCATAAAATGATTATAAAGCACATCTTTGGTTGTCAAAAATGTCAATAAAGACGTTTGAAATTCATTGTTTTAGTTTTTCAGTTCTATTTGGAGTTGTTCATCTATCATTGTGTGATCTATACACTTCTTTTTATTTCAGCTCATAATTTCTGTAGCAAGGAGAAATTATGAAATAAATTTATCTTTGATGGTTTCAATTAGGACCAAGCGTATTCACATCTCTCATCATTTGACCTGAATATATTAAGCTCTTTTCTCAGTTGGCCACAATGGGACTTTTCCAGATTATTGAATATATATTTATGGAACCTACTTGTTCACATTTTGCAATGCCATCTGCAGAAGTTGCAGTGTGTCAAGTCTGTTGGTCATGTTTTGCCAATCTATTGGCAAAACTGAGTAAATAATATTGAAATTTGTACTGATATAATCTTTAATTAAAATTTTAAAATTGTCATATATGTGATGGCATGCAATTTCGAATATCTGCTTGATCGTTGTTGGTGCTTTTAAAATTCCTTATGTATATACTGGAGCTTCATAACATCATGTGGTGACATAGATGAAGCTTTCTTCCCTGCAGATTTTTTGCTGTTCCTGTATTTTTTAGGTTCATCTTTCTGCTTTCCTAATGCATATTTGATTATTTCATAATCTTGAGAAAGTTGAATGGAAACACTTGCAGAAACCCACATTCTCGTATAGCCCTATTACACGACCCTGTTCAAACTCACTTAGCTGTTGATAATGGCTTTTTTGTCTTCTTAAAGGCATTTTTGATTAACATCAACTTATTATAGCAAATCTCAACATAAATAATGTGCACAGAATTTATAGCGTGTATTTAAAAGCAAACTTAATTTTCATGCTTAGATTGACAACACTAGCACCACACTGATGCACCTAGCATCAAATTTGAATAGAGGTTATTTTTCAGATGTATAAACATGCTTCTTAAATATCGTTTGTCTAGTATAACTTCTACTTGGAATTTTTTTCCCGTCAGTATATGTACAAATTATGGTAACAAAAATTACTCAATTTCCAAAAGAATAATTTATTAAATTCCTTTTTACGATGTTATCGGACAATTCTTTTCATTTGAAACCTATTTCACTACTTTTAAAGTGCTATAAATATGGGCTTGTGGCTTTTGTAAAATGTAGTTGTCTCTTGAACTTTCCTAAATTCCAATATGATGTTCTAATTGACATGAAGTTTGACCATCCCTGTCCTGTACCACATCACAGAAAATAATTTATATTAGTAGTTTGCTAAGCTAAGGAAATTATCATTTAACTCAATATTTATAGGCATTATCATTGGCCACAATTTATATCAGCAGCAACAACATAATGTTCTTTACATCTTTCCAGGCAAAAGACTTGCGTATAGCATCTTTCAGTGTGAATATTCCTGAAAATCATGTACACTGTCATCCCTGTCCTGTACCACATCACAGAAAATAATTTATATTAGTAGTTTGCTAAGCTAAGGAAATTATCATTTAACTCAATATTTATAGGCATTATCATTGGACACAATTTATATCAGCAGCAACAACATAATGTTCTTTACATCTTTCCAGGCAAAAGACTTGCATATAGCATCTTTCAGTGTGAATATTCCTGAAAATCATGTACACTGTCTTCAGAATTCCTGCATTGATACATAAGAGGGGCGTTAGTTCATCTGTATATTCTGTAATGAATTCTGTCAATAATGCTTTTAACATTCGGAAGCAGAAACATAACACAAATGTTCTGCACATTAAGTTAAGCAGGGGGATAAGTGTGTCAGTTGTCTAACAATAGAATCTCTTTATCCATCTGGTGGTAGACATTTCTAACTTAACTCCTTGGTACAAATACACTAGAAAACTATTGTGAGAAAGAAGTAGTAGCTATGGTGATACCATATGACCTACCATATATACATAAAGTTTGATAATGCGATTTACGAAATAAACTATGTAAGCTCTCTTGCCCAGTGGGAGTCGTGAGTATTCACCATAGCCTTATATATGATAGTATTGCCAAACTGTTAGCCCATTAATTTTTTATATCTCACAGGCCTAAATTTTAAACCTTCAAAAGAGACTGTTTTTTTTTTTTTTTTTTTTAATTACTTGGCCTACCAGTTGCAGAGCAGTAAAATCAATGAACACTGTTATTTGACCTAAATTTCATTCCAATTGAACAAGGATGTCTGTATGGGTGTTTTTGTGGTTTTCCTCATGTATGATGCAAGCCATTTCCCTGAAAAATCCTTCATAAAGGCATCTCTTACTTTAGGCAGAAACCCCTCATCTGCTTTTCCATTAACTGAATAAAATTAAACAATTTTGACGTTACCAATTATCTATCGGGAGAAGTATTACTATACCACTATTAGTCCATGACTACAGTTTGTAAGCAAACCACTATGTTTAGAATAGTGGTTTATATATAGCACTATTCTAACATAGGTATTTTGACACAAAATCGGACTTTTTCTGAAATAACATATCAATATTTTTCCATATTTCGATTGTACGGCTCAAATTATGCCAGAATACCAAGTTTTGTAAAAATCGTACGAGTAGTTTTTAAAATATTAGCTCTCAAAATTTAGCTCCTCAATGTTAATTGAATTGGTAAATATTTATTAAACTTTTATTATTTTTCCTTTCACATTTCGAAATTTAAGTTCATTCCAAATAAAATTTACCATTTTTGTGGTTTTATTTTTTAAATAATTTTTATCAATTTTTCGAAAAAAATTTTGCATTATAACCTATAAAATTTTTACCATCATCTTAAAGTAGGTGTATTTTTAAGCATATATGCAAAAAATTAGACTGACTTATTCAAAATTTTCTAAGATATACACGAATTTACATATTTTCGCGTTTTGAAATTTGCCATCTTTTTTTTTTTTTAGCAATAATAGCACCAAATGTGGTTTATGGATTTTTGTTACAGTGAATTGCCACAGCTATTTTTAACCTTTTTCAAGTAAAATTTTACGGAGAATTAATTATATGAAATATTTGATGCGTAATAAATATTTATTAATACTATACGAAAAGCTATTTCTTTAAAAATTACAGATGATATTATTCAAATTTTTAACTACTTTTTTAATTTCTCTCTTTCTTCCTTTTCTTAAAAAAAAATACGAGTAAATTTTTACCTTCGGCGTTTTATCGTCTGCTACTTTACTTTAATTTCGTTTAAATTGAATTGTCTAAAACTGAGAATTTTCGTTTGATGTTTATTTGAATTTTATGAAAATATTTTATGACATTAACTGCATAATTTATTTCTAAACGAACTGTTGCAACTGTTGCTTATGAAGTGGCTGATACTATCATCCATATTTTTAAAGCACAGTATATTTTTATAGAAACATAAGATTTAGAATAATCATTTTTATAAAATTCAAATTATGATATAAACATACAACCCTCTAGAGACTGAATTAATGGAAGTTCAATGGTTATGTCGAAATGATCTGCAGCTACTTAATGGCTGGATAAGTCGGCAAGTTCTGTGGACAAGTAAGAATAATTATAGAAACGACACCCAACATTCTGGATTCAATTAACAACGAGGATACGATGTTTATTAAATGAATTTAAGAAGTATTAAAACATAAAAAAATCAACTAATTTTTTATCCTAAAACGTATTTTTGTGCGTAGTATTTCTTATATCCTTAAAATTCTAATTTAAAAGTAATTGTCACGAAACTGAATCCTAATCATCATAATGTAATAAGTAATTATACGGTTTATTAATAAATCCTTCTTAAAAAGTAATTGCAAATATTTCAAAAAACTGTCTGAATGAAAATATTTTTCTATGCAAATATTTTTAATTTTATATTAATCAGGATTTCACACGATATTATTTATTTACACTTCAATTCTTATCGTCAGTTCTAGTAAGGAGTTACAAATCAATTATATTTATTTAAGGATTGGATTGGATTATTTAATTATGGCAAAGCACACGAGGGTTAATTGCCTAAAGGGTGGGATTCCTTCGTGGAGGACTTTCTAAGGGAAACTGGCTCGTATACACGTTACACATGGGGAAAACGCCCATGCAGCTAGCCCGTTTGCGGGATTCGAACCTCGGACCGAACTACCAGTCTTTACCGCTCGGCCGCTGGGGGGCTATTTAATTAAGGAATGACCATCTAAGTTTAGAAACAGCGTACCGTAACAGCAATTCAATTATTGGCGTCGCATCTTTCATGTTACTCCCGATTGGCAAGCTACATGATTTAAATGAGTATTCGGGTTTTGCTAGTAACTTCACTTGGTTATTTGAACATAGAAAGAACATGGGAGCTATTTGATTAAGATGCTTTCATAGAGAACCTAGAAAACCAACCATGCAGCCTGGGTTAGACTTCGCAACAAACAATTAGTATTTAACAATCTTCAAATGCTAGGCAACTGGTGAGGTTCCAATTAAATCTCCAATTTAATATTTATTTGTAAATATTTAAAATATTGTTGTTTCTTGACACAAAAAAGCAGAATTTAAGTTTTATTAACTCGCTAGTAAACTACCAAGCCGTAGTGCAAATGAATATTCAATTTTTTTTGCAATAATTGTATTCACTTAATATTCTTGGAATATGAGCTAAAGAAGGAACGTTCTCGGAAGATAAAGAAGTGTTTAAATCCAGTGA